TCCTCGCCACCTAAGGAGCCCAGAGTGTTTCTCCCTCCTTGCCCGCTCTGTCCCTAGCCCTGTCTAGGTGCACGGTCATCTAGAGGATGCTGCCAAGAAACCAAGTGCAGTTCAGCTTCTAGGTGTCCTCTCCGCAAGGTTCCCAGCCCGCACCTCCATGCCATGGTCACGCAGTGAGCGGGGAAGCTGAGGTCGCATCTAGGCATGTATTTCATTATGCTACAGTAGATCTCCTCTACTTAGAAAAAAAAAAAACCCAACCCAACCGATGCCCTGTGTGGCCTCTTCCAGAGCTTTCTCGTAGCTGTGTCCGCCTCCAGCCTGTGCCGTACAGGATGGGAGAGCAATTTCTACCACCTAGGCTTCAGAAAACCAGAAGAAAATTATGGTTTAATGAGAAGTTTGGAATCAGAAGAGAGGTATTTTGGGGCTAAAGGCCTTTGTGTTACTTGATGGTGATATCCTGGGTGAATGTGCGGAGAAAATGGAAAGTTTGCCGTTATCTTGATTGGCCCAGACGAGGGCTCTGGATTCCTGATTAATGAGAAACAGTGCAGAGCAATAAAGGCATTGTTAATTAAGAGAAGCGAGGGAGGCGAGGAGGTGCAAATCGGTGGGTAGTGACTGCTTAAGTCTTTTCCTCCCCTCCTCTCTTGTTGCCTATATATCTGCTGCTTTAACTCTTTGCTCTACAGCAAGTGCTGCCGTGCCGCGCGGGGAACGGCCGGGAGCGGAGCCGTGAGGGTGAAAAGAGACATCTGGAAAAATGAAATTCGCCTTAACTGTCTATATTAGCCCATTATGCCCCGGTTGACTGTAATTCAAAGAACTGGGAATAAGGCTTCTTTGTTGATAAAAGGCTGGCTGTGGATCTGGTATTAATTTAGCAATTCTTCTGTCGGCAGTGCTGACAATGCCACAGAGTTTTCCTGCCTGGTTGTTTTTTTCTACAGGGTCTCTGTGAATGTTTGCCGCAGAAAGTTAGAGACAGGGGCCATCCTCCTCGGATGGGAAAGGAAGCAACAGCCAAAGATCTGAAGAAGTCTGTTGTAACCTTGTCTTGCTCTTTTTTTTCTTTCCCTCACTTTTCTGTGTCTGTTTTGCCTCGTTATTCTCACGTTTCCTCTTCTTTCTCTGTGCTTTTCATGCCCATTTGTTGTTCTTTCTTGTGCTCTTTGACTTATTCTGCTCTTCTCCTGACCCTTTCCCGTTCCTCACCTGAACGTCTCTGCTGCGTTTCACCATCCTCTGCCAGCCGATGAGATGACTGTGGGGAAGGTCTACGCAGCGCTGATGATATTCGACTTTTACAAGCAGAATAAGAACAGCAGGGAACAAGTCCACCAGCCGCCCGGAGGCCTGTGCCAGGTACTCAGCCAAAAGGTGACCTTCTCCGTCCTCCCTCTTGGGCAGCCTCTTCTCCAGCGTCGGGCACCTCTCAAGAGAGTCACTGCCACATTTCATCCAGAAAGTCTGGCTGTTTCTCCAAGCGGGATTTGAAAACGCTGTCTCAAAAATGGAAGCCTCCCCTGAAAGTCTGTCTCAAACAAACAAACAAAAAAATATATTGTTGCCATTGCCTTTTCCAGTAGTTCTGGAAAGGTCTTTTCCAAAAAACGTCAAGTCACATTTGGCAGTCCACTTTCCTCTTTGGCAGTCCTGTTTTCAGAAGTGGCCTAGGAACTGGGAGGCACCAGAAGAGTTCTTTGGGACACCAAAGAATTATTGAAAGCTGACGATAGTTTGGCTAAAAAATGTTGAAGTTACTTTTGAAAATGGGAATTATTCAAAATCCTTTTGGCTCTGATAGATTTGAAGATTTTTACAATTTCTTGAAAATATTTCCATGCAACTGGCTTGGGATTGAAACCCCAATGGTTTCTGGTAGGACACGTGCCTATTGATTTCAGGATGGTGACCTGGATGATCTCCAGCGTGGCCGGCCTGTCCGTCTCCCGGGTGGGAGGCTAGAGCAGACCCAGTGTCACAACGAGCCACCTTTGGTCCCATCAGTGGAGGAAAGCCCTGCTGTGTGCGGGTGACCGGGGGAAATACTTTGTTAGAGGGAAGGGGGATTGAAGCACAACTTTGCCTTGCGCAGACCTGAGAGCACCAAGTGTCCTTCAGAGCCTCTTCCAGCTAGGGGAAGGCTGGGGGTGCTTTCTGCTGGGCTGGTCCCTCAGGGTGACAAAGTGGACTTTTTATTAGCTAGGAAAGGCACCGCAGCCCATCCTCTCCATACACAGCTCTGACTCTGACAACCTCTCCTTCTGCTTCGCAGCCCGGCCCAGTGTCACTCTTCCACCCCCTGAAGGCCACTTTGGAGCAAACCCAGCCCACAGCATTCAACAACGCAAAGGCGTTCCTTCGCCAGAAAAGCTCAGCCTCTCTCAACAACGGGGGCGCGTTGTGAGTATCCCGCGACCTCCCCGCCAAAGCTGCAACGCAGAGAAGGGGCACACGGGGTGTCTGCATCAACCCCGACCACTGCTGGTTCAGTTGCTCTGGAGGTGGGACAGCCCAGCTGGTGACACCAAGACCAGCAGCTGCTTCACACCGTGGCTGAGACAATTTCCCCACCGGTGGCTGCCAAAATGCCTCCGTGTGGCTCTGCTTCCCACTGCCGCCTCAGGTGCGGTTATCCATGCGGTGGTAGCGTTGGGTTCTCCAGAGCTGCATGTTTTCTTCGTGGTCTCCTCTGAATCTTAGTTGGAGAGCTTTCCGTCGTGGCACGTTGTAAGTGTGAGTTCGCTCACAGGAATTTGGGATCATTGCAAAACAATGAAACCCCAACCCACCCACCACCACTGCAGTGAGTTCTTGGGAGTCAAAAGGTCCCTGGGAGCAAAGTCATCCCTCGAGCTCGTGACACTTGGTAAGAGCAAGAGCTTCTTGAGACTTTCCAGGACAGAATCCGGCTCTTTCTCTTTGGGCAAAATAATACCTCCACAGAGAGCTTACTAAACAGTTATAGTAACAGTGATCCCTAATCAATTCTCTATTTCCTGCTCTTCTTCAGGTGACTTTCCTCTGGGTCACAAGCACTATGGATTTTTAGTGATAGACACCTGAAGTTTAAATGTCCCAAATAAACCCGATGGGGAAACCAACATCAGACCCAACAGTGAAACCCAGGGCCACCTGTACCACTGTCCGTGCGGTGCATGTACCTTAGCATGGCCACAGACCTGTTTGACCAATGTCTGACTGGTCTTGCATACATAATTTGCCGGAACTCCAAAATTTTTCGTTCTTCTTCATCAGAACTTAAGCTGCAGAAGTGGTTTTCCTCAGTTAATGGGGAAAAAAAAATAAAGAAAAGTAATGTCTGTTTTGATTTCCTCATTGCTCATGGGATCTTCAGCCTGTGTAGGGAGTGGCCCTGGCAGAACCCAGGGGACCTTAGAGCTTCACTGGCAGCTGTGCCTATCCTGCAACTAGTTTCACAAGTGAAAACTCAAAGGCTGTCATCTGAGCGGTTTACCTTCATCGCAATACAGTCAGCAAAATCTCTTTGCAAAGGAGTATCTTTTTTTCCTCTTTTCCCGCTGACAGGCCAGCCCCGGAGGGTGGGATCAAAGAGTCCAGTTCTTGGGGGACCCAACGCACCCAGGATGTGTTTTATGAAACCAGGACACCAGCTTTTGAACGAGGCCACTCGGAAGAAATCCCCATCGAACGGGTGAGTAAACAGGGTGAAGATGTCAAGGCAGGGTGAGATGCAGTAGATTTTAGAAATGCAGCAGATTTTTTAGGCATTTTAGAAAACATTTAGAAAAAACAGGTGAAGACAGGGTGCAATGCAGTAGCCAGTAGATCTGTCCCTTGAGACAAGCAGTGTTCTGTCTCTTACAACCCCAAGTTTGCTTGAACATTTTGGAGAAAAACGAAATCTGGTAGCTTCTACGCTGTGATAGCTGTACGTGTGGACACGCTTTTCAAGGAATTATGTGTCTGCTGCGATAGGTTGCTCAAGGTTGTCTCTTCCTACTTGTCCCATTGTCCCAATCCCATTGCCATCAGCATACAACCTCAGCTGAGGGGTTTCAGAGGTCACAGCTGGGGCCCATTGCCATGGCTGGTGGAAGAGCTTGGTCCACTGCTGTCTTTGAGGACCACACTTTAGATAGAGTAACCTGGGCACTCCACAGCTCTTAATTTACTCTCCTTCCCATACTAGCATCTCTACACAATTAAATCAAGCTTATCAGAAGCCTGCTCGGTTGATGGCTTCAAAGCTGATGTTCATGTTCTTGCTACTGAAACCATTTCTTGTTCCAATCAGGTGGTAGAAATGAGGGAAATCAGCCCCACACTTGCCAACGGAGAACACCAACCAGGCCTGGAGAGCCAAGGGCGGGCGGCTTCCATGCCGCGCCTGGCCGCCGAAACTCAGGTGAGCGAGGGAGACTTTACTGGCGGTGGGAGACTGAGAGTGGGTCAAGAACTCAGTATCTTCTCTCTGCTTGCCGTGTTGTTGGAAGTTCCTTGTGAATATTTGGTTTAAAAATGTTTGCTGAGCCTGGAGCCAGATAACCAGCCTTCGTGCTTGGGTGGTGGTGTGGAGACACAGCACTGTCCCCAGTTCTACTCATCCCTGCTTGCAGCGGAAAGCAACCCAGAGAAATCCCTCTGTCTGGGTAGCTAACTGATGGCTACCTACCCACGGGTGTCTGTTCTGATTAACTGGGGACAACACTGTCCCTGGAAGGTGTACGTTTCCCATGGGCAGCTGTGCCATCTGTCCAACCAGCCAGTCAAGGCACGCTCCTGCGCCCGAGCCGTACAGAAAGCTGGAGATGTGCCGTGACTCTCTTTGATGAATGTAGCAGGTACAGAAAATAGCAGGGAGCCTGCGGCTGGAAGGCTTCATCGAGACACTAAGCATCCTCCCTGTCTTGTTTTTGTCTTCCCATAGTATTCAGCATATGCTCTATTGTGAATTTGGTCAGTAAAATGTTGTCGAGGATTTCCCCCATTTAACATCTTGTAAAGAAATCTCATCGCTAGAGTTGACTTTTACAGCGACTCGTGGATGCAACTTAGCGTGTAGGCTCTTGTGGTTCTCACAGATCGTTTTGGGGCATTTCCCATGCCCATTGCTAGCTTGTTATCCCAGATGCTCTCCAGCTGCCGTCCTGCCTCCTGTGTGCCTGAACACCTTGCCGCTCGTAGCCGTGTCTCTGGTTCGAAGGGGCTGATTGATGCAGCCAGGAGCGAGCAGCCCGTGGCTCTGGGCTGCTTCCGTTGCTCTCCGTGGGAAGCAGAACCTGAAAAATATGCTGAGCCCTAAAACTAAAAGCCTGTGTACTGCGTACACAGTGATAGCTCCAATAGATATAATCTTTCTGCTAACGTGCTCTGGCTGGCACGAGCTCCACTGCGTCGGCTCGCAAATTTCCCAGCTGACTTCGGAAACTGCGCTCTTTGTGTGAGAGCTGGGATCCTCTGCGTTATCAGGAGCGCTACTCAACATGCTTAATAAAAGGAACAGACCCCAAAGCGAACCCATACTCCCTTCCCCCTTCCCAGAACAAAGTTGTCCTTTATTCCAGCCCACAAGTAGCATCTTTCCTTCCAAGGCAAGGCAGTTGGCAGCAGCCCCGCCGGCACCACCAGCCTTTCCTTGGGAAACTCCTCTCCGTTGCAGTCAGGTGTTTGCAGGAGCGAGCGTCTCTCGCAGAGGCACCGTATGCGTCCCCCAGGGCACAGCTGCCCCGCGGGAAAGCTGTCGAATCTCGTCATGAATCAGGCCCGTAATACCTGGGCGGCTCTAACCTCATTTAATAATACAATGTTTTGGTGGTTGTAGCTTCAGCTGAATAACTGATGTACTTTCTGTGTGTGTCTTCCCCCTCCATGCCCTCCACCCTCCCTCTCACGTCCTGCTTCTGCTCCCCCCAAACTTTGAGTTCTTTATAACTCTTATTTGCAATGCTTTCTGTTTCGGGATGTCTCCCTTTCTCTTTGCCTCTCATTCCTCTGTCCTTTTATGTTCCGCTTTTTTTTTTTTTTTTAAAAAAAAAAACACCCAACCTTCCTACGCTTTCAATCTCACCTCCTCCCTCCCTCTTTGCTGCCCTCCTCCCCCATCACTCCCCTCCCCTCCCTTGTCGTCATCGTGTCTGCTGCACATCTGCCGTGATGTCTGACAATGGCTGTACTGTGGGGCTGCTTCAAATAATGTCTCTCATCTTGTCCGAATTGTTTGCAGAGGAGCAAAGCACGGTCACCTGGGAGTTACCTAGCAGTATGTAGTTTGCACTAAGTTGTATCCTATTAAATTTCATGTTAAGAAATAATTTAACCTTCCTTAACCCTTTACTTTTCTCCCTTCTCATTTGGAGTCCGATGTTGCACCGACGCAGCCGCTATCTCTTCCCACTTTGCTGCAGTTCCCTCGATCCACAATTGCACGCCGCACGCTGTAATAGCAGGGTTTTTTTTTTATGTTTGTTTGTTTGTTTTGCTTATTTATTTGTCTTTGTATGCCTTGTTGCACAGGAATTTAGGAATTGAAAACAATCGGTTTGGTAATGAAGAAGCAATTAGTAACTCTGCGGAGGGTTATGGTATAGTCTCCCGAGGCTCGTGGGGAGCCTGTGCCCCGTTAACGTAACGAGAGCATTGGCAGGATTTATGGAAAGGGTATTCATTGCTTTGCCACTTCCCATTAGTGTCAGCGGGGGCTTCTGTCCCTGGAATAAGTGCAGAATCAGGTCCAGAGTCCAAAGAGAAATGTTCATTTCTTACCGATTCGGCTGGCATTTTGTCGGGAAATCTCAGTTGTCCTCTTCCCGGTGGCTCCGATGTGGAATTTGGAAATCTGGATAGGCTTTTTTAGTGGGGAGCGTTTTCACTTTTTTTCTGCCCATCAAGACCAAGGCCTCTCTGCCTTCCTCCGTCTTTAGGCTCAGCAGTAAGCAAGGAGGGCAAACGCGGATCTCCTCAGTATAAAGTCTTGCCCGCACAGCGAGGAGGGGAATGCAGCCCAGCCTGGTCCTGCTAATGCGCCGGGGCGGCTGCCGGGGCGGCTGCCGGGGCGCCCCGATGCCGTGGGCTCTGCTGTGCCCCCCACCCCAGCAGGGTCTCCCTTGTGCCTCTCACAAACCTGCCAGCTCTAACACTTCCACCTTGCCCTTCCAGTGGCAATCGAAATTTGGGTAACTACTTAGCAAGAGAAGAGAGAGCACCAAACAAAAATTCAGCCCCGACCGCACCTTTGCATGCGAGATAATCTGCCCGCGACAGCCCGTTGGGCCCACTGGCTTTGCGCTGGGTAAATATCACGGGGCAGCGGAGAGCTGAAATTCAGGATGAGCAAACAAAATAGCGGAGACAGTAAAAATAATACAGGGCTCTTTGGAAAGGTTACAGTGAACAAAGTAAATGTTCTGCGAGAACCATCGTTGGAGGCAGATATTGGATTGTGAATTCAAAGAGGGGTCAATGCTGAGGGACCGGAGGACATCCTGAGCTCCTTCCCCACCAGGCTGGAGCACCAGGCTCCAAGGTCTTTCTTCTGCCATGCAGCTTTGATGCAGTGGTAGACCCAGGGAAGCCTCTGGAGGATGGATGAAGCTCTGTCTCCACCACGAAGCCAACTGGAGGCCAGCAGAGTGAAAGAGAAGGGAATTGTCCCCTTTTTGTCTGAGCTTTATACATGGTGATTGCACAGTAGGGAAGAGAAAGACTGTGAGAATAGCTGTCCTGCAGTCCACTTGTCTTGGTTTCTGCAGAGCATCTTTGTAAGGTTTTGAGCCTAAAGGGAAGGGAGCAGAGTCTGGAGCTGCCACCGGCACAGGGACAGGGTGCAGCAGTGCCCGTGGGAGGCTGTGTTACTGCACTCAGTGTCCAGATGTTTGGCTACGGTTGATTAGAAAACAGCAATAGCAAACACAAGTAGTCATTTCTGGAGATGTCCGAGTAGAATTGCAGGACATACGCGCCATCCTGCTTGTCCCAGCCACAAGGGCTTCAAGAAGTGATGGTGGGACGAGAGAAGTTTAAGTGTTTGATGGGAGTCATCTTCAACTGCAGGGAGGTAGAATTAATTTCTCAGTGGCTTGGCCTGTACCTTGCCCACTTGTTCCTGAGTTTTCTCCCTCTCCATGTGATGCCCAGCAATGCTTTCATGCTTTCTCCTCTTTGGAGTTGCTTTGGGATGACCACATGCCCTGAAGCAGCTTTGGGTGAAACTAGTCTTGGAGAATTATCCTTGTGAGGCGCTTGGCTACTGTGCTGCCCTATGCCCCTGCTCATCTACTGTCCACTCCTGCGAACGCTGTGTTTGGTGTGAAGTGCTGCATATCGCTCTGCGTCCATGGTACTTGTGGATTGGCACTCTGCTAAAAGCAGAGCCCATCTCAGCAAATGGAGATCCCATTTGCTCCTCAAAATTAGCACTTGACCTACCATTCCACAAGTCCTTCTGCCCATTCCAGTTATATCCAATTAACCAGTTTTCTCCTTCCCCTCCTTCCCTTTTTCTCTTACTGTATAACCCTCCCCGTGCTGGGAACCAAGCAGCTGAGCGCGGTGCAGTGTCGGCGCTCACTCTGCTCCGTGTCCCTCCGTCTGCCTTGCAGCCCATCCCGGACACCAGCCCCATGAAGCGCTCCGTCTCCACGCTGACCCCGCAGCGCCCTCACGCCATGCACCTCTACGAATACTCCTTGGAGCGCATGCCGCCGGAGCAAGGGCATCACCACCATCACCACCGCTGCCACCGGCGGAAAGAGAAGAAGCAGAAGTCCTTGGACAGGTCCCCCCATCAGCTGGCCGATGGAGAAGCTGGTAAGTGCTTTGCAAACAAGGATTTGTGCCTTGTCCTCCTGCCTTCGGGATGCGCGGCAGTCATCTGATGTGATTTGGGGTCCCGTCCGCATGGAACGACCTCCCTGCCCCACACCTGGGGGCTCCTCCTGTGTTGGTGACCCCCAACCGACGTTCTTCTTTCAGTGGCCCAGTCTGGTGAGTCTTCTTCCAAGGACAAGAAGCAGGAACGCGGCCGGTCCCAAGAGAGGAAGCAGCACTCTTCCTCCTCCTCTGAAAAGCAGCGCTTCTACTCGTGCGACCGCTACGGCAGTAGGGACCGTTCTCAGCCCAAGTCTGCCGATCAGAGCAGGCCCACCTCACCCAACGGAGGGCCGGAGCAAGGTCCACACAGACAGGTGAGGAGATGCAGGGTAGGAAGAGAGCCCTAAGTTCTTCCAGGGATGTACACACTTTTTCCACGTCTTCCTTAAAATAGAGGAGATGGGAAGGGAATAAATGAAATAAAGGGGAAGGCAGGCCAGGCAGTAGGAGGTAAAGCCATTGAGGTCCTGCTTGGTGCTTCACATCCAAAATAGGGATGGAAATGCCACTCGGTGGTTCTTTAGTAGCCACCTACAGACTGAGTGACTCCAGATGTCTCGCAGAGACCCCGCAGCCAAGGATACTCTTGCTTACAGTTTCGGCAGAGCAGCCTGGGAGACCTGAGAACTGGAAGCTGGGGGGAAAGTGTCTCTGAGCCAGGGCAGACTGGTAGCGTGGCGTGGGACAGGGGCAACTGAGCTGAACCATTCCCCCGCCAGCTGTGTTAATCCAGCACCTACATCTGGGGGTTGCCGAAGAAATCCTTGCCGTTGTGGTACAAGCCAATGTAACACAGTAGAGGGACACCAGCCAGCCCGAGCTGTGACTGCAGCAGCGTTTGCTTTTATTAACAGCATTTTCCGGCTGCTGTCGCGTGGGCTTCAGAGCTATCCTGTGTTGTGGAAGAGGTTAATCTTCTAAAAATTGAGGAAGAAGTCCTATTTCCCTAGCGTCAAATGAATCGTCAAATGTGCTCTCTTAGCTGGGAGAAGAAATTGTAAGGGAGAGGAGGAATGCAGGAGAAGGCAGGACCTGAGTGGAAGGGGAGAGAGCTAAACCTCGGGCCAATCCCTGCAAACGGGATCCTTGGAGAGGGACTTTTTCCAAGGGCATGTAGTGACGGGATGAGTGGGAATGGCTTCAAACTGGAAGAGGGGAGATTTAGATGAGATATCAGGAAGAAATGTTTCCCTGTGAGGGCGGTGATCCCCTGGGGCAGGTTGCCCCGAGAAGCTGTGGCTGCCCCATCCCTGGAGGTGTTCAAGGCCAGGTTGGACGGGGCTTGGAGCAACCTGGGCTGGGGGGAGGTGGCCCTGCCCAGGGCAGAGGGGTGGAACTGGATGATCTTCAAGGTCCCTTCCAACCCAAACCATTCTGTGATTGTATGAAACATCAAGTAATGCACAGCCACTGTGCCGAGAGGGGAGGCTCTGCCCACTCTCCCGAATCTCCCTAAATTTGCAGCCCGCTGGTGGAATGGGACCAGCCGGATGTGCCGGGAGGGGCTGAGCCACACTGTCAGCCAGGAGCCCCTGCAGCAACCTCAGCTCGTGGGGAGCGACACCAAATCCTGCCTTCAGCAAGAGATAGAGCCCAGGGGAAGGGTTTAAACGAAGGGGCTTCATAGTTTCCCACTAGTGGAGCAGCTTTTTGCCTCCTTACCCTGTCCTGTGCCTTCCTCTCTCCCTGCATGGTCCCTAGCACCATCCAGGCTGCAGCATCAGAGGCTCAGGGTGCTGCTGTGGGTGCTCAGGGGCTGCGCGAGACACCCAGAGCATGGGACACGGTTTGCACTGTCATTCGGTCTTTTTTCAGTGGTGCCCAATGACAGGACAAGAGGGAATGGGCACAAACTTGACCATAGGATGTTCCATCTGAACATGAGGAACTTCTTTCCTGTGAAGGTGGCAGAGCAGTTCGGGGCTCCCCGGGTCAAGAAGGACAGGGAACTGCTGGAGAGGGTCCAGCAAAGGGCTACAGAGGTGATGAGGGGACTGGAGCATCTCTCTGCTGAGGAAAGGCTGAGGGACGTGGGGCTGTTCAGTCTGGAGAAGAGAAGACTGAGGGGGATCTTATCAATGCTGATAAATACTCCAAGGGAGGGTGCCGGGGGGATGGGAACAGTCTGTTTCCAGTGGTGCCCAGTGACAGGACAAGAGGGAACGGGCACAAACGTGACCATCGGCAGTTCCATCTCCACCTGAGGAGGGCCTTCTCTGCTGTGAGGGCGGCAGAGCAGTGGCACAGGCTGCCCAGAGAGGTGGGGGAGTCTCCCCCTCTGGAGCCATCCCAAACCCGCCTGGACGCCGTCCTGTGCCACTGCTGGAGGTGCCCCTGCTCTGGCGGGGGGTGGGAGGGGGGAGCTCCAGAGGGACCTTCCAGCCCCCACCAGTCTGGGATTCTCAGCTGGGAGCAGATGTGACATCGGTTTGAGGTCTGATGCACCCAGGACTGTGTGTCCATAGCAAGAGGGAGCTGTAGCCCTACAGGTCTTTTCCGTCTTTTGCTGCTGCAGTCTCCGAGTGGCCTTCATCTGGGTTTTTTCATTTAAGTCTTTCATTCTGTTTCTTAATTTCTCCCTCTGCTTTGAGAGGCACGAAGATGGCCCTGATTTTTAGCACAATGTCTCTCCTTTCTTGCAGAACTTTAAATATCACTTATGTTTTAATTTAAAAACCCGAAACCTTCCTGTAGTTAAGAGCCCATCAGCATTAGCACATCAGCTGCCTTCTAGAAACCCGTTCCCCCAGTTCCAGGGAAGTCTGTATTGTCCCCCAGGTCCCGTGTGGGTTTAGTGAGGCAGGGCACAGAAAGCCTGGTGTATTTTATCCACTCACATGTTATCTACTTTGAGTGGCGCTGGTAATACATCCCCTGGTTATTTGGAGAAAAAAAACCCAACAATAGATTAAAAAAGATAGCCAAACCGCATGTCACCTCTGTCCCCATGAGCTGAAGCCCCTTCTCTTAACGAGGTGTCTGCGAGGAGCTCTGTCAGCCCTTTTCCTGCATTATTTTGGCTCCATAACGAGGTGCTTGTGAACTCTCAAGTATTTTCTTCATTAGTCAGTCCCTCTCCTTGGGAGACACAGCTATTCCCAGGAGCACGTGGCCCAGCAGGTTTCACCAGGTCCCCGGAGGCCCCTGGATACCCCAAAAAGAGAGGCTGGCTTGAGCTTCACCCTGCCAACAAGGTGGCCCCGTTCCAGCTAAAGCCAAGCCAAAAATCAGGACAGGTTTGGCTCAAAAAGAAGTTCTCCAAAGTTGTTTTTTTTTTTTAATGCAAAAAGAGGAGACAAGAAAACCAAGCTATCACCGTTTCATTGCGGGTCAACTCGCACGGCTTTGTTTGACCCGCAGAGAAACGTTGTGCATCTTCTGTGAATTATTTCACCATTTCCTTTTCAGTGCGGGTGAATTGTTAAATCTAAATCCCATTTCACGATGAATCTGGGAAAAACAAATTTTTTAATGAGATGAAACTTCTTGGAATTTCAAAACGTTTTGGCAGGAAGGAGCTCGTTAGACATTTTGAAAAAAGACCTTACAATTTTAATTTTTTTTATAATCAAGACCATCTCCTGAATTGGTCCTGGATAAAAGAAGTTTGAAAATCTTGCAAAAAAACATGTTTAGGCAGCTTAATACTTATCAAAACAATTTAGTTCTGCTTTTTTTTGTAAGTATTGTAATTTTGAGGTGCTAAGCCTCAGGCCCTTGGCAAAAGCTGGTCATCTTCTGGAGGTTGGGGTGTTGGAGGTCACCGGGTGGTGGTCCCCATCTCCTCTGTCACCAAGGGGTGGGAGGTGGGGCAGGTGCCTGGGATGGGAATGGGGGTCTGTAGCAGAGAGTGAGGCCGAAACGGGGGGGAAACCAGAGAAGGGAGAGAGCGAAAATGAAGGAGGAGGAAGGCAAAGACGCGGTTTCCAGGCTGTGAAAGACGTGAGGCATTGGCCCCACGAGCAGCAAATGCCGTGTGAGTCCCCAGCGCCTGTGGAGAGCGGGGCTGGCGCTCGGTGACACCCGCGCTGCCCCGCGCCCCCAGACAACACGGGAATCGCCGCTTCTTCCCATAGATGTGGCTAAAATCGCCTCTCCATCCAGCACCGCCGGGCTTACCCCGAAAACTGTGCTGGGAAACCCGGGCAGAGCAGAACAAGCGCTGATTAACAGCCCGACAAGCAACGACCTGATGTTTTTGCAGTCAGGAAAAAACACTCTCTAAAAATTAAAGGTCTGGTCTCAGAATGTTAGGTCATGAAACAATGAGGGATTTTTAAAAGGTATTCGTGGGGCTGTTCATGTATTGCCCTGGGAGAATGGAAACGGCAATGCCAAAACCAGGGCCCGTTCCTCTCACTCAACAGCATTTTTTTAATTTACTGTACCTTAGTTCACTCCCACATGTCGCTATTGGTAACCCAGGAAGCTGCCAGGCTCTTCTACCACTCAAAAATCAAATGTGTAATATTAAACAAACTCATTTTTAAGGCAGTTGTTAGGTAAAGGCCATCCAAAAAGCTTCCTGTTGTTGTTTTTTTCAGAAAGCGGCCATTTAGTCAAAACACATTTTATTCGCAAAACTACCAAAAAAACAATCTGCCCCCAAATCCTCCTTCCGCATAATCCGATTTTGACCACAGAAATGGTCCCCAACAGCAGCATTCACGACCGTCGGGTGAAGTTCTGCAAAAAAATCCTCCCCAAAGCAGAGTGTACTGTTTAGCAAAATTGTACTTGCCAAAAAAAAAAAAAAAAAGAAACACCCCAAAACCCGGTAGGTTTTTGAGCTGCTCCCGCCTAGTGCAGGTAAGGCGCATGTCGAGCCCGTGTATGGTGTGGATGCCTTCCCTCCGGACAGTGTCCCCTTCTGTTGGAGCCGTCTGCCAGTTTGCGTCCTACCGATGCTCTGATCCTTTCTGTTCTTATTTACCGCTCGCAGAACCTCAGTTCTCCAGCTCGTTACATCTCGTGTTGAATTATTTCTCGAGAACCTCCTTCCCCTAACTGTGCTTGTCTAAACTCTCTCTTTTTTTTTTGCTTTTCTTTCCTCCTGTGACTTGTCTCTCCCTCCTGTTGCTTCTCCTTCTGTTTGATACCTGCCTGCCTTTGTGTTCGTCTGGTGTTTCCCTCTTTTATTTTTTGATTTGCTTTGTTCCAATTTTTATGTAGGGCAGTGGTTCAGTTAATGGGAGCCCCTTGCTGTCGACATCTGGTGCTAGTACCCCATGCCGGGGTCGGAGGCAGCTCCCACAGACTCCACTCACCCCACGTCCCAGCATCACTTACAAGACCGCTAACTCCTCGCCCGTGCACTTCACCAGTTTCCAAACCGGCCTGCCCACTTTCTCCCCGGGACGCCTGAGCCGCGGCTTGTCC